CAGCCCCTCCTCCCTCAGACCCAGGAGTCCAGACACCCAGCCCCTCCTCCCTCAGACCCAGGAGTCCAGATCCCCAGCCCCTCCTCCCTCAGACCCAGGAGTCCAGGGCCCCAGCCCCTCCTCCCTGAGACTCAGCAGTCCAGGGCCACAGCCCTTTTCCCTCCTAGGATGCTGTTCTTTGGAACTTAGGGTCCCACCCCCACCATCTTATGGCTCAAGCTTCCTAACCTTAAGACTCTAGATCTACGGTTTCTTTCTCCCTTTACGACCCACACATTTAGGCCCTGATTCTCTTCTTTTTCAGGAATGTGGACCTCACCCTGCTCTCCCAGACCTTGAGGATGAAGGAAACAGGAACCCCACCCAGGAAGCTCAAGGCTGAAACTCTGACCCAAACTATCTCAGGAGCCCCTGGCCCTGGCTTCCCCCCTGCTCCAGAATTTCTGCCCTGCCCACACACACACACACCCTCTTCCACCCTCAGAGGCCCAGCTGTCCTGCCCCATGCTCTACCCTACAGCCGCACGGGTGGCTTCATAAAAGTGCCGGGCCCAGCCCCCTAGGAGGAGAATAGTGGGCATCTGGGCGTGGGACCCTCGGGGAACAGCCTGTGGTCTGGACTCCTGTGTCTACGAGGAGACAGATGCTGCTTCCCTTCTGGATGATGGGGTACCCACAGGTGATGGAGGCCAGGGTCCCTCAATAAAAGAAGGGGAGCAGGCATGTTGGTTTCTTCACAGGGTTGGAAGGACTGGGTACCCAAGAGGGACATCCATGAGTCTTGGGTCCCTGAAGGTGGCTTGTACTGGGGGAGAGTCTGGATGACAGAGTCCTTAAAAGAGACTCTGACTTGGAGGCGGGCCCCAAATCCCTGGGTCCCAGTGGAGAGGGGACTCCTGGGTCTGAGGGAGAAGGGACTGGGGGGCGGGACTCCTGGGTCCACGGTGGAGACCTGGTTTTCAGGCCTGGCCTTCTGAGGCAATAAAAGCCACAGATTGGGTCTTAGTATGGCGAACACTGAAGTCCGGGAAAGGCCTCCTGTTTCCAGAGCCTCAAGGCAGGGATGGGGCAGAGGGCAACAACCCCCAGACCTGAAGTCTAGCTCTGAAGCTGATGTCTCCATACCGGGTTCTGAGTCCCTGCCTGCCGGTCCCCAGCCCGACTTCTTCCTTCCGTTTTATTTTCAGCCCCTCACTCCCCTGTCCCAGGAGGAAGGCAGAGGCTGGTAGCTGGGGTGGGGGGCGGCCCCCTCCCCAAGCCTGGCAGGAGGAGGGGTCCCCAGGGAGGCCAGGAGGGGGGGCTGTGGGTCTCCCGGCAGTGGCGGACGGGGACTGAATGTTAATCGCATCCCGAGTGAGTGTGTGTGTGCGAGAACACAGCAAGTGTGTGAGTCCCTCCCGCTCCGGCTCCTCCAAGCCGCGGCCGCCGCCGCCACCCTCGCCCCGGCGCTAAATGCACCCCCAAAGCTGCCCCTTAGGAACTTGGGAGGGTCGCAGGGTTCGGAAAGTGCCAAATCCGGCACCGGCTTGCCCAGGCAG